AAACATTAAATACAATTAAATTTTTGAAAATATGTATATTGCAATCGTGACTTTATTTAACTTAAATTAACAGATTAACGTTATTTGGAAATTATACTCGTAAATATATATATATATATATATATATATATATATATNTTATATATATATATATATATATATATATATATACATAAAAGTTCAAAATGTACAGTAAACATCGAAAAAATTATTACAGAATAATGAAAAAAGACAAGAAAAAAATTATTAAAAAAAATAATAACAATAAATAAAAAAAATACAATAAAAATCCGGGGGGAAAGGGTATAATCTCTTCATCAGCTCACACGATTATATCAGCGAAAAGGAGTGCTTTCTAATATTGTATCAATATAGCTAAAGCAAAACATATCAATACAATAGTGTGAGGAGCACTAAAAAAAAAAAAAAATTCTTTTTTTGAAACAAAAAAGAACACATTAAGTAAAAAATATATCACATAAAAAAACAGAAAATAAAATGTTAAGAAAAAATAAAACTAAACACAAAACGAAATCTATAAAGCGAGTTGCGAATTTAAATGAACTTACATGGGAGGGAAAATTTTCAAGAATGATTTAAAATATTACAAACAGTACTAAAGAACGAACAAAAAATTATCAATAATTTACAATAAATCAGCCACAAAAATAAGACAGTTCTAGAATAGGATTTCCAAAGAATATAATATCTCCTGTACAGTATTATAATAAAATAATATTGCAATAAAATGTACTACAGTACTACTGAGAGTAAAATTATAATAAAATGTACTAATGCAATATTCTTTCAGTAGAGCATAATCTTTCAGTATATTTAACCGTTATAACCTATTATTACGACATTCTTTCAGAGAACAACATATTATTATGAAACTAAAGTAAGATTGACACAAAAAAGCAACAAGAAAAAATGAACTATGTACAATGCGAAAAAAAATCGAACCATCCTGAATAACTTTTGATCAAAGGATCGAACTTCACGTTCTAGAACTTAATTTCAAATAAATTAATGCAGATGGTATTTTCAGTTTCGAAAACAGTCACAAAAACGTACATTCCTTGAATAAACATACTTTTTTTAGACAGATTCGGATTTCTAACTCCCGAAATATAGTAGGCACAATCTGAGAAAGTTCCAATAGTTTGGTCAGGAGAACGATCCAAAGTTTGGACCCCTTAACGTTAATTTCACTTTTTGAGCATTTGTCACATCTCGAGAACAATTTAAGCGAATTGAAAAAATTTTGTACTCAATTATAATATTTGTTCATTCAAAGATAATTGCATAAAAAATAACTTATAGTAAATATTTTTTATTATTTTATTTAATAACAGTCGAAAAAAATTTGTATTGTAAGGTATACATTTTTTTTACACCATTTAAAGAATGTAATCTTACATGTCAAAATACAATATTTGAGAGAAATCAGTTCAATAGTTCCTGAGAAATCAAACTTGTTTTTAAAAAAAATCGTATTTTAATATTTCACAGCAAAATTAACTTGAGATAATTATTAAAAAAAATGAATAAATTAAATAGATTGAAAAATTATTTCTTTCATAGAGAAATGATTTTTCAATTATATTAAACAATTATAAATGAATAAAAACGCAAATTTTAAATGAAAAATTAATATTTATAACACAAACATTAAAACATTTACTTTATAATTAATATGTATTAGTAAATCAAATAGTAATTAATAATGAATTAAATAAATAAGAAAATTTGATTATGCAATGAAAAATATATTAATTGAAATAAAATTAACAAAAATTTTAATAAGTTTTAATTTATTATTATTTTCAACTTTATCTTGTCATTCTATTTTGAAACAGAAAAAAACCATTAGAAATATATGTTAATGGAGTGTTTTTTTTTTTTCATCTCCTAATTAATTTTAACAATATTTCGATAATATTTCGTAGCAAAAAAAATTCATCGTCATTCTAATATAGAAATAAAAGGGTGTTGCACTGCACCGTCAAGTCAAATATTCATCTACATGATTTATATCAATATTTCTACCTTCTTTTTTAAACCCTAGATGGCGCCATATTATGAAGAAATTTTTTAAGTTGTTTAATCTTCTTCGAACACGTATTTAAGTATTTTCGCAGTTTATTGAAATCAACGAATATATTAATTTGTTTTAATGCTTATAATAAAATTAACTTTTTCAAATTAAGTTTTAAAAAAAATTTAATTAATATATGTTATTTTTTACAGGCATGTTATTTCTTACAGGCATCATTAGAAAAATAGAACAAGAGAAGAGAAGAACTTCTTTTATCATGATTCGTTCTATTTTGGACTAGTTTAAGTAGAATTATAAAGTTGATTTCGCAAAACTTTTTTTAAAAAATACACCAAAAAATAAGGATTGAAAACATATTTTGATGCTTTGAATTTAAAAAATAAAATATTTTTTTGATAAAAAATCTTTCAAAATAATTTGGAATTTTCTTTCCTCAGGATGTTTAATTTTTTAAACAATTGTAATAAATTATTTTGAAAAGTCTACATTAAAAAAAAATTTTTATATTACTTTACACAGTCAAAATAATAAGTTTAAATAAAGATGGACTCGAATTAACAAGTATAAAAATATTGACGTTTTTAAGTTTATAATAGTTTTTTTTTTTTTTTTTTTTTTTTTTTTTTTTTTTTTTTTNTTTTTTTTTTTTTTTTTTTTTTTAAACTAATATTTATGATCTCTGACTATTTACGAACATCAAAAATCGATCATCAAATTTTACTGATCAAATATTGTAAATATAATAATCAAATATTAAATATTAAATGGAAAACATAAAAGAATTTTTGCAAAATTTATGCTTAATAAAAGTCTTAGAACATAATTAATTTTACAAAAAATTTACAATGGACCACACTCCCTTGAAAAATAAATATAGTAATGCTTACACTTTCAACAATCTTTTAAAACTGGTACCTTAGCAAGAACTATGAAACACAATTCAAATGCAATTTAAGAATTGTGTGTTGGTAATCAAAAAATTTGAAATGGAACAACTGAATAGTTTTATAGAAAAATTTAGAAAATTTTATTCTTAAGAAACTGCTTAAATTTTTTTGAATTTTAGATTTTGTTATTTATAACTACTAAAAATGGAAATTACACAAGCAGTTTCTTCAGCATTAAATCAGTACAACACGGTTTTAAATTTTTTTTTTCTTGTTAAGTTGGATTTGTGTGCCTTTCTCTTGAAAAACCTAGAATTGGTTACTGTAATTCTTCCAAGACGCATTCACACAATGTCTTAGACAATATAAGCTCTTTCAGAAAATGGTAAAAAGCAATACACGAATTTTAAATAACGAAAAAGTAGTGAAGTAAGCAATAAGTAAGAGTAAAGTAGTGAAGTAAGTTTAAGAGTAGTGAATTAAGAAATAATTACATTTTAAAAGCAAATAAGAAAAGATTTATTTAAAAGTAGTCTATTCTCAAATTATAAATTTCAAAAACTCGCATATACATAATGTCTTAATCTATATAAGCTCTTTCAGAAATTACTAAAAAGCAAAAGAAGACATTTAAAAAACAAAGAACGATTTTAGAGTAGTGAATTAAGAAATAATTACATTTTAAAAGCAAATAAGATAAGACTTACTAAAAAGTAATCCATCTCAAATTATATACATTTAATATGTTATGCGGTTCGCAAAATAAAAAAAAGGATACTTAAATAACTTTTGATCTACTGTTCAGATTTTCACGTAAACACAGTCAAACATTCTTTGCGATTCAAAATATGCTAATTAGTACTGGTGATATTATAAGTTACGAAATTGGACATTGAAAATTTTTTATGCACCTAATTAATTCTTAATAATTACGAAATACACAAAAAAGCGAAGTTAACAATAACGAAACCAAACTTTCGACTTCTGTCTGAACAATTGGAAATATATTTTCCAGACTACGGCTACTACCATTTTTTTGAATGTCAAAAATCCGTTGAAAGAAAGATCTTTTTAAAGAAACATATGAGACAGATGAAGTACGCATTGGAATCTGATTTCTTAACTTTAAATTAGTTAACATACACACGGTTAGTCATACGAACCATTAAAATTACATTTTAGTACATGAAAATCTGACCACCAGATCACAAATTATTTAGGTTTACCGTACTTTATTCGGGGCACTACAAAAAAGATTTTTAAAAACACTAAAGCAAAACTGTGGTATATAAAACAAAAATAAAGTCTACGAAGGGGTTTCGTGTTTAACTAATCAGAAACTTTTAAAAGCAATTAAAAATAACAATACGAGCGACAGAAACTCTATTATTTAATCACATAATGTGAAATTTTCAAAAGAATCTCGAATGAAAATTAAAGGTGTAGCGTGTTTGAAGAAAGCTTATCTACGAGGAGAAGCTTTACTACAAAAGCACTGTTTAGTATTTATATGAGTTCTGACTTGAGCATTCCGAACAGTAAACTCACAAGTATACGTATACCATTGTTAAAAAAAAAAGAAGAAAAAATCTTGATGACGCTTATGTAGTTTGGCAACAAAGCATCATCTACATAAACATTATTAAACTTTTTAACACTAAAATTTTATACACATTTTCCACATACCTGCAAACTTGAGCCGTGGTGGCTCAGGGGATAGAGCATACGCCTCCCAATGAAGTGACCCGGGTACGAATTCCAGCTGGAATTCAATCCCAATTGGGATTCAAATTTTGCACCTGGATCGCACCGACCACAGTGCTGGCGTAAAATATCCTCAATGGTAGGCGGATCATGGGTTAAAGTTTCCTTGCAGTCAAGTTAATTGTGAGAGGTTTTCGTGGTTTTCCTCTCCATGTAACCGAAAGGCGGTTTAGTTCCATCAAAAAGTCATTCACGAAGGCAAATTTCTTGATCTACGGGCTACGGAGTTGAACATTGGTAGTTGGCTGTTCAACGACGGTTATAAAATAAAATAAAATAAAATAAAATACCTGCAGATTTCGGAGAGAACTTTTCCCTTTGAGCTGCACAAACAGCGAGAAGTCGATAGCCAAGATCTAGATCGAATCCTGGTTGTTGTGATACCTGGCTGATCACCTGAATTAGAATAACAGTGTTTATGTATTCAGTTTAAATTTACTTTTAACATTTAAATTTTTTAACTCATTTCATTTTTTCGATTGTTTCGTGCATAAAAACGCTAACGTGGTGGAATATCATTTTAACTTCGACCACAAAATTGAAACAAACATTTATAATGAACGTAGACAATCTCTTTAAAGCTGTGGCATACCATTCAAAATCCTTTATTCTACGTAACACTGTGGTTCTATGAGCAGAAAAATTTGGTAGATTATAGATTTTGATAAATTCAGCGATAAAGAAATCAGCATATTATTATTAATATTTTTAAAAAAAATATTATTGGACTATTCTCGATTATTTAACTTTTTTTAAACTAAATTGTATAATTAAAATATAAATATAATTTTTAATTTTAAAATAGCGAAAATATACTTAGTTTCTTACGAAACTAGTGCAATTAGACAATCATAATGTTAAACAAAAAAACAATGAAATTATTTTTATTGTTTTTAAAAACAATTAAAAACTAAAAACAATTAAATTTCATTAATACATTTCTTCAAATTTGAAATTCCAAGTCCGTGTTTTTAGTTGAAGGCACAATCTCAATAACACTGAGGAAATTTTTTTTTGCATGGCATTTTTTTTAATGGATGGTATTTTTAGGTCATTGATTTCAAATTTGAAATAGCTATTTTTCTCAAAGTTTCTTTTTTTTTTTAAAATTACATCTAGTTTATCTTTTGTCGAAATTCAGTTTATTAACCAAACTAGAATTATTAGTAATTTATTAAGTATTATTAACTAGAATTTTAGTTCATCTTTTGTCGAAACACACAAGTTTGGAAATGTTACTTATAATAGAGGATCGCATAAATGTTGTGACAAACTTCTAGGGGAATTGGGAACAACAGAATTAAAATTGCATAGAACCCATGCCCGGATATACCATCATACGGGGCTAGGGGAGCCTTTAATTATGAACTGTTTCTTCGTGTGCTTCTGAACAGGTCATACTAAACAGTCTTCTGAATAGGAAGCACCCCTAGTAGCGCAGAACGACGTTTTCGGTCATGGGTTCAATTTTAATCCTGATGATGTGCCGTAACTGACCTAGAAGTTTGCTGCAACTTTCAGGCGACACACTGTTATAAGGAACGTTTTTAAACGTTTTTAAGAATGTCATTTAAAAAAAAAAAAATTTAACTTTAGGACCCAAAATTAATTCTAGATTTGAAATCTTCACACCCGAATTAGACAAGATCAAGTATTTATATAAATGCAACGAATTATATGTCCTCTACGGTAATTATAATCTAAATTATTCAAATAAAATACATGCATCAGTTAAAAAATTGCAATAGCTAAAGTACAATTTTTTACTCTAAAATCTTATGTAATTACATCATCACTCCTTAAAAAATATTAAACCAGCGGCGTTACTTTATGCATTTCTCTCATTGCCCACATTAAGTTAAGACTAGATCAGTAATTTACCTCTTCTTTTACGCCTACAATCGAACTCAACTCTTGAGTTAATTATCGAGCTAAGCTTTGGCATTGAATTGATGTAACTACGTGCTATAACGTAATATTTGGTGATTGCTACGTACTTTTTTTTTTTTTTTTTTTTTTTTTTTTTTAACATTTAAGTATTTGACTTAAGAGAGGAAAATTATTTATTTGAATTAATTACTCGTTCCGATCCCAGGTATTTATTGAAATATTTATTGAAACATTCTCTTCTGTGTAATTGTAAGCTAGTCATTAAAATTCAAACACAACGAACTTGTTTTATTTAAACTTTGCTAAGGTCAATACAGGAGACTGAAATATTACAATAAAATGAAATACCTGCGAGTTAAATCTTCAAAATAAAATATTTTAATTAAAAAATTCTCTAGCAGCTTTTTTTAATTTTTCAATCATTCTTAAATTTATTTCTAAGTTTTCTTTCCGCTAGAAGATCATTAGAAAAACAAATATCTTTTTTTTTTTTCAGTCATTGCACGCACATTTTTTTCTTCAAATTTAGAAGGAAAAAAAATAGTTCATGAATTAAAAAGCAAAAAAATGTGATTAGAGATAGTTTCCATACTTAAGAAACGTCACAGAAAAGTGTTTTCTGATTGGGCATACTCACCGTAAGGCATCCAATAAGGTTTTGCTCAAACGCATTTTGGAAGGCCCTAGGGTCACCACACCACTCTAGGAGTTCTCTCGCTGCTCCTTGAAAAGCACTGGGGGAACTTAGCGCCTACAAATAAACACAATCCATGAATCTTTGGTTAAATATCTCGTAAAATTAGTTTCAATACATTCTGGTACATTTGGATCAGGTATATTTAAAATGAATATTTTAAATATATCTGGAGTTTCACAGAGACTACTATTTATATATTTTTAGATTTTTAGAATACTAGTAAAACCTGTAGACCAAGTATTGGGCTAAAGAAAAAAAATCAAGATATTTTTTGATGCAGTATTCATATACCAGACTAGTATAGCAAGCAAACGGAAAGTATATATATGCAATAACTGCAATTGTACAATTATATAGAACTCATAAAATAAGTTGAAAACATGGAAAAAAAATTGAAGATTAATGAAGAGAAAAAGAAAAAAAATTGTTGAAATGAAATGTTTAAAACTAAAAAATTATAAATATTAAAAAATCAAAAGAAAAAAAAATGAAAAGATAATCTCTTCATCAGCTTGCACGATTATATCAGCAAAAAAGAGTGCTTTCTAATATTGTATCAATATATCCAAAGCAAAATATATCAATACAATAGCGTGAAGAGGACTCAAAAAAACTTTTTGAAGCAAAAAAGAACACATTACATAAAAATAAGCTTTCAAGAATGATTCAAAATATTTTCGTAATAAAATTGCCAGATTACAAAATATGAAAACAGACGCTCAAATGGAGCTAAAAGAGGGATTTTACTTTAAGGCACGTTCTTACTGCAGTACTGAGGTGCGTTTGACTAGTTAGTTACCAAGGATTGGCCCAAAATTGGTAATAATGTTTATACTGGATAATTTAAAGAAGTTAACAATTTTTTTTTTCTAACGGCAGGCACTGAACTTTTACGTCCTTCGCCTAGGAAGATGCCGGAAGTATTACTCATTTAACGTTACCCAGCGGGCACCTGTGAGCCTAAGTCACAGAGGCGAGCAACATTACCCACGCCACACTGCCACAGATACCCGTTTTATAGGGTCGGCCACATTCACACATTACACAATAGAGAGCAACACACAGAGAGAAATATCCATGCCCTGAACGGGATTCGAACCCGCAGCCATTGGCTTCGCAGTCAGGCACGCTAACCACTCGACCGTCTTGCCGGCAGAAGTTTATAATTAATAAGGTTGATATTTAATTAAACAATTAAAGAGAGAGAGAAACATGATTTGCCCGTTTTGCAAAGATTTTTAGCCATGCATCTGCCCGAATTAGATTTGCACATGGTAAAAATATAAATTAACAAAGAAGTTTTCAATAATTTTTAAATAACATACAATTAACTCAATGATTTTATATAAAAATTAATTACTTTAGTTGGGTATTCCTTGTTTTTTAATAAAATTTTTTAACGTATGGGTTTTAACAATTTAATAAATTTTTAAGTGTTATTTTAAAAATATTTTATTTTTTAATAATTTTTCCTCTTCTCTCTAATATAAAATATATATGTATGTATATATATACGATAATATAGAAAAAAAACATGGAAAAAACATAAAATTTAGTCAAACTTGAGTAAAATTTATTCTATCTCAAAAGAATAATAAAACATACTATATATATACTTAGTGTGATGTTGTCCATCACACTTTCTTTCCCCCTCTACCTCTTTTATATATATATGTCACGGTGAAAGACCGAAATCGGTGGTTGTTGACTTCCACCAGTGAATGTCGACAAACACCAAATACGTCGGTGAAAGATCGAATATTTCATTACATTCTTGTACATTCGGACCCTCAACGGTGTATGTCGACAATCACAGATATGCTTTGGTGAATGTCCGAAATATTTATTACATTCGATTTGATATGAATTTATTCGTGGATATAATTACATTTATTCGATATTTTTACCCTACACTGATGTTTTTTTAAGGTCAAGTGCCACTGCCCGGTATACCCTACATTGATGTTTTTTTAAGGTTAAGTGCCACTGCCCGGTATACCCTACACAGATGTTTTTTTAAGGTCAAGTGCCATTCCCCGGTATATATAAGCCCAATACTCCAAACACTGATGTTTCTTCTAATCTAGCGTCAGAAAGTATTAAAATATAGAATAAATATAAATATATCAAATAAATATAATAATATTAGCGAATTAATTAATATAAAATTGGATATAACAAATATTTCGGGCATTCACCAAAGCGACTATGTGATTGTTGACATTCACCGGTGAGAGTCAGAAATAAGGGTATTTAGCAAATATTTCGGACATACACCAAGCGACTACGTGAATGTTGACATTCTCCAGATTTCGGTGTTTCACCGTAACATATATTATATATATATATAAGGGACACCGGCGTACCACCTGCGAAGGGGTAAAAAAAAATACTTTGTGAGTATACACAATTTTAGTTTTTATACCTTGATTTTACTATTCCAAAGCACAAAATAAAAGCACAATAGTGTCTTTCAAATAACAAAGCTGCAAACAAAAGGTCAATGGACTGCGAAAGAAGTGTCTAAATAAGATAAAGATTAGGTAAGTACCTCTTTGATGCAGTGTAGACGATCGTTAGTCTGTTGTATGTGCCGTTCCATTGCATTGGCCATGTTATTAGCACCCCTATTCGTGACATCTGAATTACTTCGAATACCATCCACCAGAGCTAGGCTGTCTTCATCAAGTGGTTCCTTCTTCACCAGAGGCAGCTACAAAGAACAGTTAATTCACCTCAATTAGCAAGTCTTTTTTTTTATGTTAAAATAAGAATCCAAGCAGAAGAACAATAAAAATATTAAATTTAAATAAGTATTTTTAAAAACTAGGTCACTTAAAAAGGAAAAACAATAATTCAATTTTTATCAAACCTAAAGGGAAAAACATTTTGCACATCTCTTTCGAAAAACGTTGGGGGATTTTTAAGTAGTGATGCTGTATACTAACTTTTTTATTCTTAGTTTCCTGTCTGTTAGTTTGATTGGAGAATGCCATTAAATTTTGCTTCTACTATTTAGGAAACAATATGGAGATTGTATTGCAATTCGAGAGAGTGTCAATGCAATGTCCATTTGCCTCATGCCAATGCAAACTTGCATTGGTATCACGCAAAGAGCTTAAACATTCGAAAGAGTCAGAAAGTCGCAGAAATTTCAATTCATGTTAAATTTTCCCTAATTCACAATAAATCTTGCGTAAGCTATGAGAAAACGATTAAAACTTACATTGTCATCTGGTTAAAATCTTAACATACTAGAAAAAAAGGCAAATTGTTAAAAAAAATTTCTGAAAGTAATTTCTTAAATTAAAATATGCATTCTTTTATTTATTCAATATTGTTAACCTTATTTGGATAGAAATCGCTGTTTATTCATTCATTACTTGGACGCATTGTCTCATATCAAAGAGCTAATTTTTGTACCCAATGTGCTTAGAAATTCTATTTCTACGCGTTATGATAAGTGTATTGGTATTTTTAACAAGTTTTTTTTATTTTTAAAGATAACACAGTTACATAATTAACAATCAACAACTACGACATACTAAAACGGATACATTAATCCGGAAGTAAAAAGGATAAGTTTTTACAAGCGTAATGAGAGAAAAATAATTTCGAAAGTGTTCTTCATAATATTAAAACTATTACACTTAAACATTGAGCTCAACTTCAAACCATTAAAATAACTTTTAATACCATTTTAAAAGTTACTCCTTTAAAATATATTGATACAAAAAATGTATAGACGATGTGCAATAAATTTATGTTTCGGTGGTAAGTGTAGGAAATTAATTTTGTCATTAAGTGTCCTTTAAAACATTACAATTCAGTCTCAGTTTCACATGAAAATTGAGATTCTGGCGATTATTTTTAAACAAAGATGGAACATTTTAAAAAAGGACTCTTATGGAAAATAAAAATGTCCAAAATATTTGGGCTTAGGGTTAGAATAGGTCTAACTCATGTCCAGGGTCTTTTGTAAAGTTGAAATTCAATTAATTACATTTTTCCTTTAGAATTTGAGATTTGAAATACCGTTTTTAAACAAACTTTTAGCCGAATTCCATAATGTATGACATTATTGTGAAAAATAACTGTAAAAATATTGTTTACGCGGTGCTAATGTGATAAATTAGTTTCTAAGAATGTCATTTGTAAAGTTTAAATTCTGTCACCTTTTTAAACTTAACAATTGAGATTTCCACTGGCATTTAAAGCTCAAGTCAAGCTATGGCACTATTTTAAAATTGAGTCTAGTAGAAAATATCGATGTAAACAAACATAAATGCTTTCGCGGTACAAAATTATTTCTAAAAAGTCTTTCATAACGTAAAAATATAATCTTTTTGTCACTACAGCTTGACATGTTAGCTGTAAAAATACAGCTAAATTCTAAACTGATTAGCACCATTTCAAAAATATCCCTAGTAAAAAATATTTATATCTAAAGCATATAGATTTCGAGGAGAAACTGAGTAAAAATTATTTCGAAAGTATAACGCTAAAATTTAGCATTTTTTTTTTAATACTTAGAAGTTGAGAATACAATTGCAAGGAGCTCAAAGTGAACGGCACTATAGAGGTTACAGAAGATATTGATATCCGAAATTAAACCTTACTAACCTTTTAAATCTTACTCCGATAAACAATATTTGAGCCCGACAGATGGTTTTTCAAAAATTTATTACAGCAAAACGGCTACCAAAAAAAAAAAAAAAAAAAATCACGTGGCAGGGCATAAATATTTTCACCCAGAATGTTTGATTTTAGCTTTAAAATTTTCCAAAAGACGGAGCTGCAAACAGTTAATGCCTCAATCAAAGAAAAATACTTGAAATTCACAAATTTGGAAGTTTTAAAATATTTAAAGGAAGGAAAATCATATAATAAAATTTTCGAAATATTCACCATGATCCGCATACCAAACAATATTCTTTTGACCAAGCAGTCGAACAAAATATTAAACTATACATTAATACTCGAACCCGTAATCATTTGATCAGCCCTCGAACCCATTATATTAAATACTCGCGTAGCATAAAAAATAACCCATCACGCATCGTAGAATGTAACGAAAAGATGGTCGGGGGAAGAAGAAAAAAAAAAGGGGGGGGGGGTATTTCCTTCTTTTAATCTAAATATTTTTGAGCTTTTTGGGTAGGTAAGTATTACCAAAGGTAGGTTTGGTTACGTCGTACTAGAGCTCCGCAACGGGCTATTTCATTTTATTTTATAACCGTCGTTGAACAACCGCCCAAATCTGACTTAACGACTACCAAAGTCCGACTCAGTAGGCTTTTCATTTTGAACCCAATCCAGAAGACAAGGGAACACTTGGACAGTATCCCCAGAGGTACTTAATTTTATATTTTATAACCGTCGTAGAACAGCCGATCGAATTTTCGGGTTTACGACTACTAATGTTCAACTCCGTAGCCTTATAATTTTGAACCCAACCCAGAAGACAAGGGAACTCTTAAATCAAGTATTGGGAGAAATATGCCTTCGTGGAGGACTTTTTGATGGAACTCACCCGCATTTACGTTACACGGTGAGGAAGACCACGAGAACCTCGCACGGTTAGCCTGACGGCGAAGGGACTCTAACCCATGATCCGTCTACCACTAAGGATATTTCACGTCAGCATTTTGGTCGGTGCCAGTCGGATGCAGATTCGTATCAACCAGTCATCGCTGGGTTCACCTCATTGGAAGGCGAACGTTCTATTCCCCGATCCATCAAGGCTCCCCTAGAGGTATTGATTTGTTATGGAACTTGAAGGACTTTGTGACCCCGATAGATTTAACGTGCATCAGTCACCATTTAAAGCACGGGGATTCTTCGGTCGGCTAGGTTCGAACTCCCGTTCTCACGAACACAAGTCTAACACCCTACCATATAGACTATCCCGGCCCTACAATGGGCTACTGACGACGATCTGGGAAACATCCCTGAGGATGATCCGAAGATATGCCATCATAATTTTGATCTTCTACAGAAGGGATGGTAGCCCGACGACCTGCGCGCGAAGTCGAGCACTTTCTGGTAAAACGGTTTAACGAAGACAGATACCGCACACTCTCGGTCTCTACGAAGAATGATCAAAGTAGTTCCCCACCCGCTTACTAACCGCAGCCAGTGACTTCGGTGTTCTACTGGGAACCGTATCTTTACGATCAGTCCACAGCGGGATTAAACTTTCTGGAGAAGAAAAAAATTTATCCTTCCGTATGAATTTGCAGCAATAATATTTCTTAAAATTTGAGCTGTTCTCCAGTTATAAAAAAAGCGTTCTTCCATATATCATGAAAAGATAATTCGTCATACCGTTTCGTGCATTCTAACTGAAATGAAAAATCACGTGTTTTGATCTTTAATACACAGTAATATTTAGTTTATTCCTTATTTAGCGATATATTACCAGTATTTATTTATCAACTCTTAATGCTTCCTGCTAATATCACATTTAATTTTAGTAATTATTCAAAATTAAAGACTTAAAACTAAAAGGGTTGTTCCATTATCATATTATAACTTATAATTTATAAGGTAATAGAATGATATTTAAGCCAACCGGCCTGTGTAGGGGGCAGGGAACTGTCCTTGCATCAGAAAGGTTCTGGGTTCGAATCCCGGGCAAGGCATGGATGTTTCTTTCTCTCTATCTGTGTTCTATGTCCTTTCTCCTCCTGTGTGTGAATGTGACCCGCCCAATAAACGGGTTGTGGTAGTGTGACGTGGGTGACGCTGCTCCACCGCCGTGGCTCCGCCACAGGTGCCCACTGGGTAACGAAAAAAGTATTAGCAGTTCTGGCACTTTCTGTGGCCAATGGACAGTAGTTTAAAGTGCCCGCCATTAAAAAAAAAGAAAGAAAAGAATGATATTTACGTATTATGCAGCAATTTGTGATAAAGATATCTATTTACTGTTTTAAAAATAGCAAACGTTAAAGAAAGAAACGTTAAAGAAGTAGTATTTACTTTTATAATAAAAGTATTTTAAAGTAAAACTGGGTTCAGAAAACGTATGAATATAAAATAACTATTAAAAATTTAAAGCAAGGATAACTAATAGCGTTTTTGCTAAATAACAGAAGTTTGAAAATTATTAACGCTATAGAAAAATTGTTACGTTTAAATTTTATCGACATAGAATCATAATAAACTAAATCTGGGGAGTCAAATCTGCGTTAATACAATAAAAAAATAGGTTTTTAACAATCTGTTTATCATCACGATACAAAAATGATAATGATGCAATCGTGGGGGTAGATGAGCGAAGCAAGCAGGAAACGAAACCTCCAAGCAATTAATAAAACTTTTAAATGTTTATTTCATCCATCTTGAGTCCCGCAGTGGACTGATCGCAAAGACACGGTTCTAAAGTAGAACACCGATGTCAAGCATCATTGGCTGTGGTCAGTAAGCAGGTGGGGGACCACTTTGATCAGCCAGCGTAGGGACCGAGGGTGTACGGTATTACTACTCGTTTAACTGTTCTAGCGTAAAGTGCTCGACTTTATGAGCAGGTCGTCGAGCTACCAAAGCAGGGGAGCTATCCCCTCTGCAGAGAATCAAAATTGCGATGGCATGTCTTCGGAACAGCCTCAGGGATGTTTCCCAGACCGTCGCCAATAGCCCATTGCGCAAGCTCTAGTGCGACGTAAATAAAGTACCTACTTACCATTCCACCTTGAAAAGACGAGGTGCTGC